ATCCGTGCCTCAAGTAATTAGTAGTCCCAAGGTTAGCAGAATCACTAGAGAGTGGACCCTGCTTTATTATTGGCAGGCATTATGTATACTTTTCAAGCAAATCAGGTCATTGGAAAGTACAATAGCCTGGCTTGTGGAAAATTCAAAATAAGTTGTAGTTCTTCTGTCACATGTGACATTTCAGTCTGTAAATATCACATGACAGTCAGAAAATATGGGTAGCCCTCACCTCATTGAGGAATGTGTTACTGAGCATGAAATGCCAATAACTATATCCCATGAGAATGTTTAAACAATTTCAGACAACATCACAGGCAAGAAATGCCAAGATTTGTGGAACATATTTATCCATTGATCTTTGCCTGAGTTCAGGGCCCTGAAAAGGTATCAAGCATAAATTCTGTAGAGGCAGAGATCCCTGTTTGGACCTATTATACTAAAGAAAATTTTAAATCAGCACAAAAAATATACTTGTTCTTTTACACAATGGTGTTTACTCTTAAAGGGACATATGATTTTGAGCTTTTTTCTAGTACTGATAATGAACTTGTACTTATTCAAATATATTTATAATTATTTAAGTGAGCCTTAATTTTAAAAAATCCTTATATTTTAGTAACCAATGTAACTTTACGTAAAGTTTGAAAAACTTAAAAAAAATAAGCTAAAAAAAGAAAACTAAAGTCATCTGTGAAATTTAGTATTAATATTCAGGTATTTGGTATTCATTTTTTTATTTCTCTCATCTTTTTGTCAAGCCTATGGAGAAATATGCACACTTTTATGTACATGCTGGTATTATACTGCATACATTATTCATAATATTTTCATATCATTAAGTATTCTTTGAATATTTTTAGACTACATATATTCTACCATATGGTCATAGCTTAGTTAACTTTTTATTCTTAGACATTTGTGTTATTTCCAATTACACATATCCTTATACATAGCTCTGATTATTTTTTTAGGATAAATTCTCAAAAGTAAATAGTTAGATCAAGGAATAATCACATTAAAAAAAATTTTTAATACATTCTGCTATATACTGCCAGCAATGTATGAAGGGGCACATTTCCCAGGAGCTCCACTAACACTGCCAACATCTCTTTTAATGTGGCCAACTCTTCCTAAAATAAGCAAATGAAAGTTATATTTGGATATGCTTTACTGTTGTTTGGCCTTAGTCACATCTCGGGATGTCATGTGGTTAGCTTCTTAGCAATTTCTCCTCCAATTTCTTTTTAAACTAAATGCAACAGTAGTGAATAAAAAGATCCATTCCTTTCCATTAATGTGTAAAAATGTTCTTTCCAGCATTTTTACGTATTAATACAAATATATAATTTTTCTTTTTGAGTGTATAGATGTTGCTAGGGTTTGTTCTATTCCTGAAAAAGTCTGAAAAAAAAATACATCCTTCTTCTTTATTACCTTCAGATTTGTTTTTTTCTCACTCTTTTGACTGAGAGAAAACAAATTAAAACACCCCTGGAACTTGTATAAGTGGTATTTTTGAGTTAAATCTATTGCTACCAATGTAAATTATTTCAGAGAACAGCAAGATAAATGGGCTCAATAGTATGATTTTTCTCATTATTATCATCACAATCAGTGCATTTTTATTAATGACCCAACACGTATGGAGCATGGTGCTAAATCCTAAGAATTAAAAAGTGAGTATAGAACAATTCTTATCTTCAGTTGATTTATTCACTAGTTGAGAATGCTGGCACATATATAAAAACGATAAATTCTAATAAACACTAGCATATCCTAATTGCCCAATGGAGTCAGCCAGTCAATGCCCTTAGAGTTCAGAGAAGTGATTAGCAAACATTGGGGTAGTAACCTTTAAAAGCATTTGACCAAATTTTGAAGGAGAACTCAAACTGTGAGAAGAGAAGCTGTTCCACGTGGGGGTTACAGTGCTCACAAAGGTGAGAATGCACATGACATTTTCAGAATAAAAATAATCAGTGAGTCAGCCAGAGCAGTTTATTCAGTATTACAGTAGGAGAAAAATCTCATGTTTGGCTAGCCTTGGCTATCTAGATAAGCAGTATGGACCTAAGAGAGACCCGTTGGAAATAGAAAACCATTTAAAGTTTTATAACAAGTGAATTTAGAAATAATTTAGGGAGGAGGCACCTGGGTGGCTCAGTTGGTTGAGCATCCAACTTGGGTTCAGGTCATGATCTGGCAGTTTGTGAGTTCAAGCCCCACATCTGTCTCAGGCTCATTGCTGTCAGCCTGTCAGCGCAGAGCCTGCTTCTGATCCTCTATCCCCCTCTTTCTGCCCCTCCCCTGCTTGTGCTCTCCCCAAAAGAAAAGGATATTTTAAAAAGAAATAATTTAGGGAAATTTTTAAGGTATTACTATGAAAAATATTAATACCAGCATGGGATAATTATGGCCTAGACTAGCTAGATGCAGAAGAAACTAAAAACAGGCATAATGCTAGAGCCATTAGGATAGAAAAGTCCACTGAACTTGGCAACTGATTAGATATAAAGATAAGAGACTACTGGGAGCTTATTATTCAACTGTGCTTGTATCAGGGATTTATAATGAATGAGCCTGCCCTCAACCAAGTACATAATATAGAATCCCACTGAGAAGAGTGTGATAAACTCTACAGGAGGCTACAAAGTAGCTGAAACAGCTTTCCAGGTAAATCAGCCCTTGAGTTTTGACTTCAGAGATCAGTTGAATTTTGCCAGATGGGAAAGGGGGGGAAATTCGATGAAGAGGGCAAAAGAGGGGAAAATATGACTCGAAATTTTAGATCTACATGATTGGAGAAAGATAATAACACAAACCACGATAGAAAAGTCTAGCAGCAGAGATGTTTTAGTTGGAAAGACAATTCAGTTTAAACACTCTTCAAAAAAAAAATATGTACAGGATGTTCACCAGTCTGGAGGCATTTGGGACACCTCCATGAACGAAACAGGCAAAAATTTTCTGCTTTCATGGAGTTTACATTCCAGTATATGGAAATAAATACACAGTTAGAGGTATAGTGTTCACCAAAGAATTTTGTTTCATTGTGATGTTTGTTTCTTTATTTCTTTCTGTTTTCATTCGTACCAATAATATAAAATACACACAAAAGAAAGCATGGGTGACTAGTATCTGACTTAAGTCATCACTTAGGCAGCAAAATGTTCCAAGTAACTCTTTCCTCTAAGACTTCAAACTGTCCTCAAACTGACATTGATGTCTACAAGCTTCAGACAAACGGCTTAGTAATTGAGAGCAATAAATTTGAATCAATCACATTTAGTTAGGAGAAAGTAGTGTAAGTGTGCTAAAACAAGCTGACCTTCTTCTAGCTTTGCATTTTTATTGCACCCTTTCTGCTCTTCACCTGCACTTGATGTTATGGTGGGATCTTCTGACCTTAGCAGTACTTCAGAAGATGTGTCTGGACTACAGTTCTTACTAGGTCTTACTGCTAGATTGCTCAAAGGGAGAAAATTATAGGAAAAATATTTGCAGGTCAGAAATAAGGGTTTTGAGTGACTAACCTTGGAAGTGAAATTTTTGTTGCAATTAAAATGCTCAGTTTAACTTAAGAAAAACTATGTAAAACATTACATTTATGCATTACATTTCAAGCTGCTATCAAGGACAGTTGAGAGATATTAAGTAATACCAATTTTTATCTTGACACTGTGGCTGCATAGTATTCATTTCACCCTTTAGTAACCTAATATGCTGAAAAGAGACTGGACATTATAGACTTTAAAAGTTTCCTGATCTCCATAGTATTGGGAGCCAATCTTCAGAACTCTCTCCTGATTGGTTGAAAGCATTCAGTTTGTTTCCATACAAAAAGATTTTTGGCTTTTGTTTATTTATTTATGTACTTGTTTTTTCAATCAGTTACTGTAAGTAGTTCCTTCAAGTTTTATTTTTTTATTTTTTTATTTTTTTTTGATGTTTTTATTTAGTTTTGAGACAGAGAGAGACAGAGCATGAGCAGGGGAGGGGCAGAGAGAGAGGGAGACACAGAATCTGAAGCAGGCTCCAGGCTCTGAGTTGTTGGCACAGAGCCTGACGCAGGGCTCGAACTCACAAGCTGTGAGATCATGACCTGAGCTGAAGTCGGACGCCCAACCGACTGAGCCACCCAGGTGCCCCGTTCCTTCAAGTTTTAAATTATGCGTATTTATTTTTTTCTGAAAACATATTTATTTAAAATTAATTTTTCTCACCAAAGCCCCAGTTATATCTAATCATGTCAAAGCAGTATGTCAAAATCACGTCAAAACAGTATGATGCCAAAAGATATTCAATTGGAGATAATTGAATCCAATTCTTCTGATGGAACAAGATGATGGCAGTCTGAGGAGCCCATCTGAGGATTAATTGTTTCTGGAATAGATTTTCAAATGCTAAATACTTTCATAAATTTAGTTCAGTAACAAATATTTATTAAGTGTCTAATGGGTGCTTAATCTTACAACAGACATATGAAGTCCAAAATTGAATAAGGCAGTTACCCTCAAGAACTTCATATTCTAGTAATATTTAGTCTTATTAAATTATTGTTGTTTATTTATTGTAAGGTACTTTAGATTTCTGGTTTTTCATTATGACCTAGTCAAAACTCATTTAAATATATTTTATCCCATTTTTAATTATATAAGCTATCAGGTCTCCAACTGGTAATAATTTTCTTAGCAAAATGTACGGCAAAGAGTTTCAAGATTTTAGCTATCCTACAATCCTTTATAGATGAGAAAGCTAACAATTCTGACTTAAACCCAAGTTTCCAAGGAAATCTAGTTGAAAGGGCATTTTACTTCAGTTCATATGAGAGTAGAGAATGTGGAAAAATAATTTGGTGCTAATTATCATCTTAATTGATTGTGAGATTATTATTTTATCTTACGTGCTGGGGGTGGAATTCATTCTCTCTTCTCCCTGACATTTCTCATGGATTATTCCATACCATTAATAGCTTAATAGATATATATACTTTGTATTAGTTTTCCAGATCAAGAAATTCGTAAAGTGGCAGTTCAACAATTAGACAACCTCTTGAATGATGAACTACTGGACTATCTCCCACAGCTAGTTCAGGTAAGAACCACAGAGTTGCCAAAGGATTCCAGGATTTTAACCAATAATTTTTTAAAAAGAGTTTCCAGGACACCTGGATGGCTCAGTTGGTGAAGTGCCTGACTTCGGCTCAGGTCATGATCTCATGGTTCATGATTTCGAGCCCAGCATTGGGCTCTGTGCTGACAGCTCAGAGCCTGGAGCCTCCTTCAGATTCTGTGTCTCCTTCTCTCTCTGCCCTTCCCCCGCTCATGCTGTGTCTCCCTCTCAAAAAAGGAATAAACATTTAAAAAAAATTTTTAAAAGTTTCCACAACAGATGACATAAAAGTGATATTGAAATTTGGCAAGCCAGGAGCTAAACTATAGCTCATGTGTCAACATGGGTAACACAGAAATTCTTTAGCCCAAATTGGTAGTTACAAAAAAGGTATATAAAAGCCAAAAAAGAATTTTTTTAAAAAACAACTTCACTTATTAATTAGAACTGGAAGGGGGGGGGGGGTAGAAATGCTGGTGATGAAATCTTTTCATCTATGTAGAACAATTAAAAATTAATCAAATAAATGTTATGTGAAAAACAGTCTTTTACTCATAACATATGTGTTTCTTGCCTTTGCCTTAGGATGTTCTAATATTGATTATGAACCTATAAAAGTAGTTTAATAAGATAATACTCTAATTCTGCCAACAGATACTGCATTTTAGCCACAACATTAAATATCACAATGTTGGAGTAATTTTAGAAAATAATATAAATTTATATAGAAATATGAGCAAACACTGATTTAATCTGAATATTTTGAACTATAAACAACTATACATCTTACAAATGACCATGTAATACCCAAACTACAAACAATATTTTTTTTCCAAGTTGACTATGAAATAAGGGCTGAATAGGTAGTTCAAATATAATGGTCTTGATGTTTTTCATTTTTGTTTCATTTTTGTAACTCAGATGTGTTCTTATCTGAAAGGTCTGGTTGTAATTGCAAGCTATTTTAAATGCCAAGTGCCTCAGCTTCTGAACATTTAGGACAGAAAACTTTGAAAGTAATAGGGAAAACCTCTATAAGTGACTTGAATACCATATTGCTTTGCACATGGAATATATACTCCTCTGAAGGACTCCTAGGGAGAGAGCTGGTTTAGAAATAGTTGTACCATAGAGTTACTTCTAACAATCCTTATAGTTGTGATTTTTCTATACTTACCAGGATAGTGTGGTGAAAATAAAAATTAATCTAACTTGTAGGAACACTATTCATCTCATGGCTCATGAGTATGGGCAACATGCTCTATCTTACCCTAATCAAAAAAATAAATAAATAAAATAAAATAACCTTTTACAAAATTTTTTGAAATGACAGTCTGAATCAATACACTTGGCATCGGGAATATTGCTGAGAGCCATAAACCTGCAAGTCTAAATTCATAAGACAAGGTGCACACAGAATCCAACAGCAAATGCACAGAAGTACAATTAGGAAGCACTGAGTTACTCTCTAATTAAAAATGAAGATTATAGGGGCACATTGGTTAAGTGTCTGACTTCGACTCAGGTCATGATCTCAGTTCATGGGTTCGAGCCCCGCATCAGGCTCTGCAGTGTGTGGAACCTGCTGGGGATTATTCTCTCCTCTTTGCTCTCTGTTCCTCCCCTGCTTGTGCTCTCTCTTCTCTCTGTCTCTCTCTCTCTCTCTCTCTCTCTCTCTCTCTCTCAATAAATAAATAAATACATACATACATATATAAGTAAAAACTTACAAAAATTTTTTAAAAAATAAAAATAAAAAAATAAAAATGAAGATTATAGGGGCACCCGGGTAGCTCAGTCAGTTGAGCATCCAACTTCAGCTCAGGACATTATCTCGCAGTTTGTGAGTTTGAGCCCCACATCCGGCTCGCTGCTGTCAGCCTGTCATCCAAGAGGCCATTTCCGGTCATTGTAGAGCTAGCTTCCCATCCTCTGTCCCCTTCTCTGCCCCTCCCCCACTTGCACTCTCCCAAAAGTAAATAAATATTTGAACAAAAGTGAAATTTAGAAAATGATTTGAGGTGGAAAGAAATGGCTAGAAAAATAAAATTAGGAAGAATTTTCAAAACATTTATTATAGAATTTGCCATTAAACTTCCACGTTCTCTCCTGCCTTCAAAAGTTTAAAAACATAAAAACTCTTGGGCACCTGGGTGGCTCAGTCGGTTAAGCGTCTGACTTCGGCTCAGGTCATGATCTCATGGTTCATGAATTTGAGCCCCACATAGGGCTCTGTGCTGACAGCTCGGAGCCTGGAGCCTGTTTGGATTCAGTCTCCCTCTCTCTCTGCCCCTCCCCTGTTCACACTCTGTCTCCCTCTGTCTCAAGAATAAATAAAATAAAAAAAAATTCAAAAACATAAAAACTTTTGAAACAAAAAATTCTACCCCATTCGTTATTTTCTTGAAGTGTGTTATTTTATGTATTATCTTGTTAGCATTATGCAGGATATATTAAAGCAATAAGATAAAACTGTAAGACCATAACAAAAACAGGACATATTGTTCATAGAAAGCAATTAAGACACAGACCCAGAAGTTACTGCAAACCACAGGTCAACACCATGTGGGTAGGTTCCAAGAACATTTCATAATAATGCAGTGTGCACCAGAAATATTGCCTGCCTCCCTCCTAGATGGTGAGGTAGCATTTAGGGGAAAAATTGTATCAGTACACAGAGTGATGCTTTATAGTTTAGAAACAATGAAGCAATTTAAGAGCAACAAGTAGTTATTGCATCAAGAAGAAATAATGGGGAAATCTAAAAAGAAAAGCATGGAAGTAAATTCCAAGACACCTCTCTTGCTCATGTGCTTATATGATATACGATTAGGTCATGAACACAACTTATGACCTAGTCAGCCCAGTATTAGCAAGTAAGTGAAAGAAAGCCATAGCTGCAGTTTAAGACAACATACATTATGGTCTTTATACATTCAGACAGCATCAAGAGTTTATGCAAATTTGCTGAAATCATCTTTGGCACTCTTATACCTTAGGAATTTATAAACTTTCTCATCCTTGAGTATGGTCAGCATATTGAGGTATTTCTTCCGGTGTGTATCTGAATGCATGTTGTGCCCACTTTTATCTGTTGTCTGTACTATAGTATAGGACCTGGCTTAAATTCTGCACTATAGTATGTAATCTGCCTTAAATTCTGTGTATGAGTGTCTGTGTGTGTGTGTGACTTAAATGGCTATTGAGCAGCTAAAGATAGAAGCCTTGCCTCTTAAGCAGGGATGGAAACTTTTATCAAGAGAGCCTGGTTTTCACTTTCACAACATATTTGAATTTCTAGGATGATGATGGGGCCCAGGTACTGTACTGTGTACTGATAGTGAGGTCCCTGCAGAGTACAGGTGGAAGTCTGAATTAGGTCCACAGGATATTAGGGGCTGCCATTGCTGTCTGTATTTTCCACCAGGTTGGGTATCCTAGAAACTCCTAAAGAGCTGTTCAGAATGGAGATGAGGGAAAGGATTGTGGGATGGGTGGCTTAGGGTGGCAACAATCAGCTTTGAAACCTCTAAGTAACATGTCAAGTTCTGCAGGTTAATACTGACATATCAATTGGTGATTTCAGCTAAGGCTTTGAATATGGATTAATTTCATTCCCCAAAGAAGACAAATATCTATTGTTTAATAGTGACATTTTTATATCTAGGACACTAATCATGATATTATTTACTTTTGTGGGTTCCAGGATTCTCCTAGGCATGGTTGAACACCATCAACCATCTGCTCTATTTATTATCCTGTGATACTAAAGCATAAATAAGAAAGAGACTACACAAATCCAAATTGTGTGATGTGTGTTTTATGTTATTATACACCAGCTAATAAGGTTATCAAATATGATATTAACATTTTGTTAAGATGTTTATGCTGTTTCCCCTTGTCTTTTCTTAAGCCTCTTAAGTCCCTTTGTAGTCTGCTATAATTTTGCTACTGAGAAGAGAAGTAAGTAATTATATCTCTTACTTCAGGCTGCCAAGTTTGAATGGAACCTTGAAAGTCCTCTAGTACAACTCCTATTGCACCGTTCATTGCAAAGCATCCAGATTGCCCATCGTCTTTACTGGTAAGATTAACTAAAATAGGACAAGATGACTTTTTTTTTTAATTGTCAATTTCTCTCCATAGAGCTTTGGAAGAAGTGGAAGATTTCTTCCCTTGTCATTGATATAAACCTCTACTTAAAACTCTGCCAAAGTTGAGTGTTTGTCAAGGTTATTTTTATTTATGAGTATAATTTAACTGTCATTGTCTTCAAATTCTCCCCTTTGTACAGTTGCTTCTGTTTACATCCAATCAGAATTTTAAATCTGGATGATAGCTTTGCTGTAGTTTTAAATCACCTGTGCTATTTGTGGTCATATCTATTCATTGAAGATTTCAGTATAAAATCTACTTATGAGATAGTGGATGTTTGGGAAGAATGTGTGCTTTAAAAGTAATTTTTAGGGGCGCCTGGGTGGCGCAGTCGGTTAAGCGTCCGACTTCAGCCAGGTCACGATCTCGCGGTCCGTGAGTTCGAGCCCCGCGTCAGGCTCTGGGCTGATGGCTCAGAGCCTGGAGCCCGTTTCTGATTCTGTGTCTCCCTCTCTCTATGCCCCTCCCCCGTTCATGCTCTGTCTCTCTCTGTCCCAAAAATAAATAAACGTTTGAAAAAAAAAAGAAAAAATAATTTTTGTACAATTCAGTGGTGAATAGTGAAGGCTAACATATGCTTGGTGTTGCAAATCCCTAGGGTACTCAACTTTTCTCCAAACATAAATTTTGAATGTTTTTAGTGGAGAAATAAAACTTAAGAGATATTATCCTCCATTATCTTCTTCCATTATCACCTATTCTTGATCCTATTGAACACGATGTTCATTGGATGCCATACTTCCTACTTTTATTACTAAACTTGTGGACTCACCTTCATAGTAAAACTTTTAATTACAAATATCAATGATCCACAAATTAAATAGACCTATCTTTTGTCCTCACATATGTATGGCAGGCATCATTTACTAGCTTCAATTGCTAGTGAAGAACTTTAATTAGTAGAAAAAAGTCTAACTTTTGAGTATGTTTTACTGCTTCGAGGAATGTTACCCATATTGACACCATTCTTCCCATGAAAATAACTCAAGCATTTCATAGGAAAGTAGAGGTACAAGAAACTATCAACCACCAGTGTTTATTCTGATGTTCATTTTTATTTTAAATACCTAATATAAAAAGCAGAACATTTTCCTCTACTATGTCAGTATAGTGAGGCATCACACACATGACCAGCACTGGGCCAGTCACTGAATAGACTCTTATATCAAGCTCTAAATGAAGTCTTACGCTCCTCAGGTTTTCAATCAGCTGCTACCTAGCTAGGGGAAGTTAAGTAGATACACTTGGTGGTCTTCTGCTCTCATAGTAAAACTAGAACTCAGTCAAACTCAGTGGTTATTTCCTTTAAAACTTCACTTATTTTTTGTGCTTTTCACTTTTTTTGACATGTGTTTATGAAAATTAAAGCATGTTAAAAAGTGACATGACCTGATAATGATCTTGATTTAAATATTTGAACCAAAATATAATATGTATATAAAATATAATTCAAAAAGATATCTTTAAAAAGTAGAATAAAATATTAAGGACTTCTCTACTAGAGTAATGATTGTTGTAATACATGTGCCCCCAAAGTAAGTCCTTCATTTGCTAAAGTAGCATGAAAATTGGAGTCATTTGAAAGGCAACAGTGAATGCAAACAAAGTTGTAAATCAGTGTCATACTTGGAAGTTCACAATAAATTTAATTATGTCACTCTTTCCAAAGAATTGCGAGGAAGGTCTGTCTCTGTATAATTCTCACCCTAACGAAGAAAAGAAAGACAAAAAACAAAGCCCATTTCACCTCTCACTGATTCAAAAAGAGAGTAATATAGAAGGAATAGACAAGAAGATAAATTACAAATGAAATGTTTGTTCTTGAGTGCTTAATTTGTAAGAATATGGGAAGAGGAAAATGAAAACAAGGAGCGAGATTTTAAAATCCCTACATCCTTTTAAACCTTAAATTTAAAAAGTATCAGGAAAGATATCCTAAGCATGAAATAATATTAATCATATTTAAAACATGGCCTGGAGTTTAAAAAAATACCTTGCACCTAGCATCAAGCTTAGGGAATATTTGTATATAGAATGTTTTAGTTAAAATGTTAAAGATGCAGCTCAGACCCTCCATGATACACTTAAACAAATAAATCCATACAATTTAATGATTTTATTTTTCACTTGGATGAGCTCTCACTTCCTCAGATTCAGCATGTTCAACATGGAACTCAACATCTTGCCCTGCTCACCCAGGGCTTAGATCTTCCCTGTTCCTCACTAACATGTCCAATTGTTTACCAAGCCCTGTAACTCCATATCTATCACATAGCTCTATCACCTGACCTAAGATGAGCATTTCTCTGTTTAAGGTAAAGATTTTAAAATATATGTTGGTTTTGTTTTTTAATTAGAGAATCAGTATGCTATAGGATCTGTTGTAAATTGCGCAGCAATGCTGCCATCTTTCATACTCTTAAGTCTGACTGAATAAGCCCTGAGAGAGAACCAGTCTGAATCAAAATCTGTGTGGTGGGGAACCATTTTATAACATGGATCCTTTATAAATTGTTACTTAAGTCACATGTTACAAAAATCTGAAAGTGTTCCCTTCAAAGTATAGGGAAAGCCTGAGGTGAAGCTCCCATTTTCAAACTCTAAGTGCAGCAATTTTGTTTCTATACAGTACTAATACTAATTTTTGCTAGTATGGTGCATGGTGTTTGAAAATATTCAATAAATTATTATTGAATGAATGAATGGGATTAACTTGCCTGGGTCCAGCTGTGCACATGCAGACTTGTGACAGAAGGGGGCAGAAGAGGGCTGCTTGAGCAGTCAGTCAGACTTGATGTCCAAACCAGAGCTGGCAAGGAAGCCTAGGGCAATTTCAGGGGATTGATGCCTATCACTAGTAAAGTCAAGACTGGATTGAAGGGAGAGTGTGAGCGGAAGTCACGAATTAGGGCTCAAAGAACAAGTTGTTTCAGCAGTGTCTGCTGGTCCTGAATGACTTAAGACAATGGTATTTCTAGCACCACAAGGGGTTCCCAAGACAGCAATGGCATTGAAGGATCAAATCCTATGAGCTTTAATCTGCCACTCATAAAATTGAGATGATGCAAAATCGCCCATTCATTTTCTAAACACTCAGTCCTAAACTTTTCTCCTCTAGAATTTTGGGGTAATTTCTCAAAGGAGGAAATACTCTAAATAAAGCAAAATAATGTGGACATGTTGCATCATGTGATTTGAAGTCACACATGTCCCTCTCACCCCTTCTCCTAAATATATCACACCTGATACCTGAAATTTTATCATTAGTGAGTCATTCCTTTAGGTTAAGTATTGTTCCCTCCCAGAAGTTTTCTTCTAATGTGTAGGTATATATGTGTATATATGTTCAGATCATAGTGCTTGTGATGAATTAGGTTAGCATTTGTTCATTTATGTGACAAACATTGAGATACTAGACACCGTTGAACTATTAAGGATAAAACAGAACAGTCCTTGCCTAGACAAGCTCACAGGCTATGTGGTGGGAAGAAACTAGAAGGAGAGAACTGACAACAAATTCTGTCCACCTTACAGTAATCCATCCAAAATGTAACGACAAAGTAGAGAGACAGGGCTGGCCATCAAGTAAATAAAAAAGCCTAAACGTGCACTCCCATTCTGTCAGAGTTAAATATCGATACAGGCATACAAATGTATACACAAAGGAGGTAAGTGCTCTCTACTTTGGTATCTGAAACACTCCCTGAAGAAAGAGTAAAGAGGTACTTTACGGAGTTATCACAGTGTAATAGAGCATGCATAATACAGAATCAATAGAAGGTTTTAAAGCCTCAGTCCTTTACCTACTAGAATCATTACATTACTACTAATTCACCTTTTACTTTTACAATGTAATGAATAATAAATTATTGCTTTACTTTTTTTTATAAGGTAGAGATATGGCTTGCTGTCGTTTAATATTGATCTCTTATAATCGTCTTTCATGTATTGTTCTCAGAAAAGTATACACAGGATAAAATCTCTCCAATAAAGCAATTTGCTAAGCTAACAATAGCTATTCTTTACCTCAACCAACCTGAAAAAAAGTGATGGATATTTTTAAGAAAGTTTACGTTTTATGTTATAATCTGTAAAATGCATTAGCATAATTTTCTAGTTAAGGCACAATAAAGGAACAGCTGGGTTTTTTTTCTGTTTTATTTCTATTTTATGTTAAGTCTTACATAGTTCTTTAAATAAAAAGATTTTAAAAACAATGTAATTTTAAATTAATTATCTTATATCATTTGTGTTATTATTATTATTATTTTAATGTTTATTATTGAGAGAGAGAGAGAGAGCACAAACGGGGGAGGGACAGAGAATGAAAGGGAGACACAGAATCTGAAACAGGCTCCAGGCTCTGAGCTATTGGCACAGAGCCCGATGCGGTGTTTGAACTCTGGAACGGCGAGATCATGATGTAAGCCGAAGTCGGACACTGAACCAACTGAGCCACCAGGTGCCCCATTTGTTATTTTTTTTTTTAATTAAATACATATGAAAATAGAATTTTAGAATCTTAAACAAAGTTCTATCTCAAATGAATACAATAGCCAGGAATAAAGGTCAACCTTAAATTTATCCATAGTTTAAATTATTTCCCCTTCAAATTCTTCTATTTTGTTTTTTTTAAAAAGTCAAGAGCTATAAAAATGAACATTTTGTGCATACATACTGACCTCAAATGTTGTAACTTAGACCAGATCTGGCCTTTGGGAACTGAACTTTCTAATCCACTCTCCAACAATTTTCAGTAGAATAGACACTGCCATTGTATCACTGCTTCCTTAGATAGTAATCTGGTGTCCCTATAATAATATCAGTCTTCCTCTGTCATTGTTAATGCTAAAGATTTGGGGTAAGTCCTTGAAAAACAACACTATGCTGCTTAATTTTCACTGTTTCCCAATCAGACTGCAGCCTTAA